TTTCTCAGCTGCATGTATACGCGGTGAAAAACGCACCTTCTCCTGTCATGAAGAAACTCTACAAACGCAGACTGCATGGACTTTGATTTAGGAAGGTTTTACCATGATCCTTATGATCCCAAGTCCAACTTTCATTCACAGTTTTTTCTTGTTTGCGTAGTTGGACGACTTATTTTACTCTATATTTTTGCTTCTCTAGAAAAAGGGCTTTTATTGTGAAATCATCTACATGTGTTGCGTTTATATTTCCTCATATGTTTTGTTTTCTCAATACCTCTGCCTCTGAGCTCCTCTCTCTCAGAGGATGCACCTTTATTGGCGTTAACTCGTGCTTCACCTCAGAGTGCATGCACCTGTGTATTCAGTCTATTACTGGAGCGATGGGCAGCAGGCGGACCGCAGAGCTGGGAATCCATCCTCTTCTTCACATCTGTCATTACAGCCCGAGCGAGCTGAAGCGCAGAGAGCCGATGAAACTCATTCAGACCTGATTAAGGAAAGAAATGTGGGCAAAGCATGAATCAGCTTTCATTTGCAAAGAATCTGGACTCATAAGAATCAGAGCAACTCCTCATCTGTGTCTGAACATTCAAACTCTGAGACTCGCAGCCCTCCCACACACACACACACACACACACACACACACACATTTCCCAGCCTGAAGGGGAGGGCACATTTATCTTTCTCTCTCTCTCGCTGGTCTCGGTGCTACTGGAGCAAAGGCTAAAGGAGAAGAGAGGACATAAGAGGGAACACACAGTTCCTCCCTCACTCAGGATTTTTTGGAAAGGAAACCGTCTCCTGCTCCTGCCTGGGATGGTAAAACATCAGGCTGGCTGCAGCATGTGTGTGTTTGTGTGTGTGTGTGTGTCAGCAGCAAATCGAATTATTAGAAGATAATTGAAGTAGGTCGAGAAAGAATCCGTGAATCAGGAGAGGAATTCAGTTTTAATAAAAGGACTGTAAAAGGGATTGAATGAATCATCTGAAGCAAACAAACAGACGGCAGGAAACAAAGCTGGGTTCAGTCAAAGCTCTGTTTGTTCTGGTTTATTTTTCTTCTCTTTATTTACGTCACCTTTTAAGTATCCACACAATCCCTAAAACAAACTTGTGGCAGTAATATTTAATTCAGTCAGGCTGCCTGTGTTTTATAGAGTCCTTTTCTTCCTCCTGACACAGTCCAGCTTAAAAATGTTGTGATTTGAACGGCTGATCAAAAGCAGAATAATCAGATCCAGAGAAGTTAGATCAGATCTCCCCTGAAGTGTAACATGGACACTTGAAAGTAGGTCGAGGTGAGAGGACGGACCTGTTGCACCATTTTCATTCAAAGCCAAAATCATTGACTGTAAAATACTCTGACATAGTTTGGTAAATTTTTGAAGCATAATGGCAGCCGTCGCCTTTAACTAACTTTCAGTCGACCTGCCAGATCGAGGACAGAGAAGGAGGTGATAGACAGAGGATAATGTTGTATAAAAACGAATAAATCTGACTTTATAATCTGAATTTATGTCACATTTAACCATATTTTAGCAGAATGAAATAACTCTAATAATAACTGATAAGCATATTCTTGTTAATCAAACAAACTCACTTGAAAATCAACATTGAAATAGCTTGGATGAGGAATTATGCTGCGTTTGAGTTACGTCACACCTGAGTTACCAGCGTTTCAGTTACCAAGGAGGAAAATAGCAAAATCGGGAAGTTATTTTAGCGCTAACCTTGTCCGAATATAACAAGGACAAGGCAAGTGCTAAAATTTGGTAGATGTAGCCATCTTGTTTCCGCCTCCGATTTTGCTTTTTTTTCGACTTGGTAACTGAAACGCTGGTAACTTGGGTGTGACGTCATTTCCAGCCCCGACATTTGACTTACGAGGTAACTCAAACGCACCATTAGCATCCCTGAGCGGTGAAGAGGCGTTTTATACTTCTAAACTGTACGATCTTAAAGAACAATCAAACAGGCAACTAAACAGCAATGTTACAAGTGCTGAGTTTTACAGAGACATTCATGTAGGAATTAATGATATCAGGTTGACTCGCCCCGTGCACAGAAGAGGATCTTTTAAGAGATAAACACGCCCTCCTCCTCACTTAACCATGTAGTATTTCTGGCCCCTACAGAAAGGTAACAGTCACTCTCAAACAACCAATCAGAGGTAAGTCAAATCCGCCCGACTTAACCTTTCGGCCTTTATAATGGCTTAAAAATGTTGAAAAATAAAAGAGAAAAGTTACTCAACCTTTTAAATTCAGCTCAGTGAGCCGACCTCATTTCAGCTGTAAGATATAGGACTGCACAACGCCAACCCGCTGACCACCTCACCTGCTGATAATGCGGCGACCGGAGCCCCAGAAATGTAAATACAGAGACCGGGTCAATGTAAGAGACGTCTTAAAAAATCAATATGACCTTATGGTCCTGAGAGAAAATGAATCAAAGGTGGACATGAATTCAAAAAGACAAATGTAGGAGCTTTAAAACCAGAGCTGCACCTCTGAAGCTCTCTCTCTCTCTCTCTCTCTCTCTCTCTCTCTCTCTCTCTCTCTCTCTCTCTCTGAAAAGGTTTATTATGATCACCCTTCATCTACTCGAAACCCCACATAGATAAACAAAAAGACTAATAGCGTTAAATGGAAATAATTATGGTGCTTTAGATTCACTGAGTAGGTAAATTAAGCTCTTGATTGGCAAATGAATCCTTTCACCGAGTAATTATTGCCTCCGTTTTGAAAATAAGTGCTTTACCGATAATTAGGTTGAATATGTGTATGTACGTTTAAAGTATAGAGCTTTCTGTCGTGTATTTGTGAGGAAGGATAATCTATAGAAGAGGGCCATGGTGGCATTTTTATATCCCACTTAAAGACTTCTTTATGTGTTGGTAATAAAAGACTCAAACCTCTTACGAAACATGTTAGTGAGTTTTCCAGTCGGTCAGTCACCGTCACAAACATCAACACCTCACTGTGACGCGGCGTCTTCACTTTAGCACCGCTCACTCAGCTGGTACCTGCAAAAAGTGGCATCAGAACCATGTGAACACTTGATGACACACAGCAGTCACTGAAACTAACATTTACAGCAAGTAGAATCAAATGGATTCTGACACTGATTTATATTCTGTAACAGGATTTCCAATATCACCCAAACACAGCTTTATAATTGAACTACTCTGGTGTAATGAAATCATCCGTTTCCATGAAGCTAAAGTGGTCTCAGATACAATATAGGAGATGATTACGTTACGTTACGTTACGTTACGTTACGTTACGTTACGTTACGATACGATACAATACATTACATTATGTTACGTTACGTTACGTTGCGTTATGTTATGTTACGATACAAAAAGATTCAATACAAGACAATAGGATACAATATGATACAAGAGGATGGGATGCCATAAAATACAATGCAATCCAGTATAACATAGTAGGATGTGCTGCAATGCTATACAATACAATACACAGTAATTGGATACAATATGACACGATATGATATGTCACGATACTTTGCTGTACAACACAGTAATTTGATACAAACAGGACACAATGACATACAATACAAATCAATCCATTGTGATACGATACAATGTGAAACCACAACCTCAGCAATACAAATTAATACTAATACAGTACAATATGACATGGTTTGATAAGGCGTGAAACAATACAATAGCATGTCATAGAATACAATATGATATGATAAAGTGCAATATGATCCAATACAGAACAAAATAACACAATAGGCTGCCATGAAATGTGTTAATAAACAGCACAATACAACAGGGCAGGAAGAAGTAAGAGACTAAACACTATGATACAAAACAACATGAGGAGGTTCAATAGGAAACTAGGCAAGTATCATACAATATGAAACAGTGTATTGTAAGACCATATGATACTGTACAATACCATATGATACAACACAATCTGGATAGAAGCAATACCATAAGGTATAAAACATTTTAAATTAAATATAATACAATAACAAACAAACTGTAGGATACTTTTAACACAACACAGCACAGCATGAAACATTACCAAATGATTTAATACAATATGATTAGATGCAATACAGTATGATTTAGTATGATATGACACAAGTCAACTCATTATGCAACAATACAATATAATATAGTATGACACAATTTAATCTAGTCAACTAAGACTTCAGGGCTTCACACATTTATCTGACTCCAAAGAAGTCATTGGAAACTACAAATAAAAAAATAAACAACTATCCTCATATAAAAAATATATCATACAAAAATACAGGTACAAAGGTTTCAAAGGGGCCCAATTCTTGTTTTTGCCCCTTGTTCCCTTTTAAGTTTGAATCCGGCCCTGACTATAACAGAAACTGCAACAGACAGAAGACAGCAGCAGATCCAGATAAGAGATTTTATTAGGTTTTTTTTTTTAATCCTCACATCAGTGACTCCTTATAATGAACGTGACTCATTAAAATTTATTGCAATGACTCAGATGTTGTAAGAAACAGATCGGTGGGAGCAGAAAGGTGACTGATGTGAATCCTGTCCAAAACAAACTACAGCAGCAGGAGCAGGAGGAGAAGGAGGATAAACATGCAGAGTTTAATTTAGCTGTCGTGTCAGTTTGGCTCTGTTTCTGAAAATTTATCACAGTTTCACATGAACAGATTTCCTCTTGTTGTAGACCGATTGTGTTTGCAGGTCGATTCGCCTTCCCTGTAGTTTTTTATTGTGTCTGATCTCTTAATCATTAACTCTGAGTGGATGGAGGCTGCAGAGAGATTACGCATGTAAACACTTACTGCGCAGGAAACTTCTTAATTCTCATTGTTAACTCGTAAAAGGTAAACACAGATTGTAGTTTTGTTGATTTTAACACTATGGAGAATTTTTCTGACCCTCCTCCTGTCGGGCACCTCTCCAAGGGGGCGTGGCTACCACTGACGTCGCCAAATCGGCCAAACCTTAAACCTGGCACTTTGACTAGATCAGAGAGGGAATGAAGGGAAATAGTAATGACGAGCGTAGAGGGAAGAAGTACCTGGAGGAATAACACGGAGGTTTTCACTGAGCGCCTTCTGGCTGGATGAATCGTGCGGTTCTAGTTTCACTTTTACGCGTCTCGGTTAATATTTGTTCTGCAGTCAGTGGCATTTTAAAAACGGCAGAAAAGCGACTGAACTCCGAGAGCAGCTGCTGATCTCTGCCGCTGATCACCGTCTGGACCCAGTGACAGGTTAGTGACAACACAGAGTGTGTTTTAGGATCGAACTTTTCCGTGCGTAAAGCTTGGGCGAATCAACAGGTTTGAAGGTGACTTTCTTTGCTTCTTCTAAACTTTGCGCAGTGCTTTGCGGCTGCATTAGTCTGTGCATTACTAAATTTGGTTAATTATTAAAGCCTGAAATGTTACCAACCAAGCCCTTTTTTAGTATTTAAATGTAAAAAGGTTTCAAGGGTTTGTGCACAACATCTAGGATGTGATTGAGGACAGGTGTGCTGAATACCCCGAGTCAAATCAAGTGGAAAAAAGTCAAAATTCAAACTAAAGGCTTCAAAACACTACAGATATATTTAGAGATGAATACATTTTATCTACTTAAAAGTGTAAGAAACTATGCTTAGTATCATTTGTCATTAAAACAACCCATAAATATTTAAAATGAACCACTGAAGACGGAAATATGCTTCAAAATACATGAACAAAGTCCACTCTAAAGTTTGTCTGGAACTTTTTACCCGTATGCCACCGCTATCCTTTTCAGCCGTAATAGTTTTTCATCATTCAACAGAGTTAAAAATGTGGCTTGGCTGGCCACCCTTTCTTCCAAAGTGCATTCACATCTTATCTGAATGTCTAAGATTAAAAAAAGGTAAGAAAAGAGCCCCTTGGCAGAGTCCAGGCACCACCCGTGCACCTTGGAAAAGACTTTCTTTGAAAAACCAGCGTGAACTGACAGCGTGAAATAAAAAGATTAGTGTAAGTCTGAGCTGAGGGCTGATTTTTGCAGATTTACTTTGCCTGATTTTGATGTTTTCAGTCGCAGGATTTTACTTTTAAATAACTGGAATAACAGCAGGAGCAACAAACCGTGTAGATACAATTATGAGAAAACCAGACGCATATACTATTATATTAGAGTAATTTTCTGCAAGAGGCGTCCTTATAAATGGAGCGAGTTTGTTAAATAAATGTCAAAATGCATCAAATTTCTGTCACATGTAATATCTAGTTGGCTCTGAAAGGTCAGTCAGTGCAGCTTTAATAGGGACGACTCTTTTCATGCATGATTCACTGCCTCTGCACAGATGCTCTGCAGGCAGTTAGTGCACTAAATTATATCATTCTCTGGAGCTAAAAGGCATCCAAGAGTTTGTACACCACCAAACAGCAGGTATAAATCATGCTGGCGAGGTCAGTTATTTCAGATTTACTCTCAAAAATCAATTTTTTGTTCCCATTAAACTTGTGCACGTGTCTCTAGAAAAATGACTACCATGCCTTTTAAGTAGAAGTGTCTTCAGATGTTAGTCCTCTGTAGATTATCACAACATAAGTGTGTTTTTTTTTTGTTCAGTCTCTAATCATTCGACGCCGCCAGTGATAATTTTATCACACCAACAAACTCGACCCTATCTGCTCCGGAGTGGAAACCAGCGAGGATGTGCACGGCTCAGCCTCCTCTTCACGGCCTTGAAACGACTCATGGTGTAATAATAATCCTACCGTTATTGTAAATACCAGATTCCTTTTCCACCCGGGAATAACTGCGGCGTGTGGGAGTCGAAAATGCGTACGTGAGTGTGTGGAAGGGAGGGCGGAGGGAAGTCCTGTCGTTACCAGAAATAAAAAAATCGGAATTCAAGAACATCCTCTCTGGTTTCACCCACGTCGAGAGGAATTCCAGCGGCCGGCGCCGAAAAACCCTTCAAGGTCACTCTGCTCGGTAATTCACTATACATCCCTCCCCCGTCTTTCACTCCATCCTCAGGTCACCAATCGCTCAAGATACCCGAATACAGGGCGTAATTCAACCAAGCCTACGGAGAGGAGAGCACATCTCCTCTCAGCAGAGCAGGCGTCAGTGATAGTACATGATCGCACACACGAGGATCCTGGGTGGGCTGAAACTGTTGAAATAGAGCACCAATTTTTGACATTTGCCAGTTGGATGTGTTAAAGGTCTGATCTGTCAGCTTATATCAGCTGTCATTTAGATCAGCTTATGTTTTGAGGAGGGTGGAGTTGACTTTGTGGCCTGTCTGGACCAACACCTCCCCTGATTTGATATAAAGTTTTGATTTATATGTTGGGCTTGTCCCAAGACCACAGACGCAGATATTTTTTCCACAGAGTCAACAGGCAGAGAATTCCACCTACACTCTTTAACGTGTGTGATCAGGTCGTCTCTTCTGTCACTTTTACTGTTGAGAAGTTGATCTCCTAAAACTTACCTCTGCTGCAGGAGAAAGACAAAGAACATAAAGGAGAGTAGATTAACAAAATGGTGCCCCTCTGCTTTTCTAAGTGCAAAAATCTGACTGGTGTACACTTTAGGATTACTGATTACTGCTGTTGTGGTTGAGTCTGAAAATTGAAAGCTGATGGGAGACTTTCTCCAGAAGTCCTCAGGGATGCAAATGTCTTCTAAAGTAGCTAAAGTGGATGTAAACGACTCGCCTGTATTATGAAATGTTCTAAATTAAACTGTTAGGCGCTCCTAAATACGTTTCCTCACCAATGATGGTGTATTTAGTGTTTGTTTTAGACTGAAGACGTCTCCCCTGAGTTTTGTCTTCTTGGCATGAATTGAAAGAGATTTATGAATTACTAAGGACATTCTTTGCACAATAGAACCCCCTTTAAAGATTTTCTCTACCTCCTGTTGCTGATTATTGATATTCAAGAACGTAAAAATCTACCTGGCTTTCAGTAATGAAGGAGCTCAGGATAATGTCTCCTGCTGTGACACTTCAATGCTCTACTACCTGGATGTCAACAAGCACAGATGAGCTCTCGTAGCTTGGTAGGGTTTGGTAGTATTGGAGAAAATGGAGATTATATTAATGCATGTGGACCTGAACTTGGGAGGCTGGTGGTGCTAGCTCTGCTGACTTTAGCCATACTCAGTAAAAGTACTTTGACAGGGTTTACTTTAAGACTCTAAAGGAATATTCATGTTTGGAAACTAGTTGCATCGATCTAACTTTGATAAAGATCTGATGTTTCAACTTTTAATTTGACTTTACCTGAAGTGAAATGCTCAAAAGAGGATTAAAACGACCTGCCGAGGATGACTTTTTTTCTTGGTGCAGTTGCAGTGATGGACATGTCAGGCAGGTAGCGGCTGCAGCAGCTCTGACAGGTAAAATAACTCCAAATCCCGACATCATAATCGGCCTGTCCGTTCTGCTGAAGCGTCTCACTTTTTCCAGCCAGAAGCAGCTCCCTCCAGCTCCTCCCGCTCCCATGTAATCTGCCCACTTCTTCAATTCAGCCCAGCTCCTCTCCTCCAGCAGCTCCTTGTCGTCTTTGTGAGGCTGAGAGAATAGGGGAATAGAGTCCAGCTAATGGTTTTGCTGGGGGTCTTTGTGTTTTGGTATGTGCTGCTGGCTGGGAGCCTTGTCCTGAGAGGAGGAGGGCTCCACGCTTCTTTATACACATGAAATAAACAGGTTTTTGATACATTGGCCCGCGAACCGTGCTCAGCGAAGAAACATGTTGTACCTTCATTCATGCTCGGCTCTTGTTTCACGGATCTCTCAGGATATTTCTCGTGTCAGACACATGTTTTGTTGAAGCCGTGTGTGCCCCCCACTCCCTGGAACTGCATCTTCTATCCTCCAAAGGTGGCAGATCTGAGCTGCATTTCTGCTCTTCATTTTCCTCTCCAGAACAAGTTTGTTTCTGAGAGAGTCCATTGTTATGTGGAAGAAAAAAGAAAAAAAACATCTATTTTCCAGGGTGAAAAGGGTCTTGGATGGACTTCCTCTTTGACTGGACTCTGCAGGGTGTTCCAGGGTTTTTTTCTCATTCATAAATCACAATACAAGTTCATAGCAGCAGATTTGGATAAGACGTTGGAATACATGTGTGTGAACGAGATCTGAGTGATACAGAGGTGGGCAGGGCATGTGTAGCCTCATGGTTTGAAAGGGTGGTAGATAATTGGTGTGCCATTCCCAGCAAAAAAAAAAAAGCCCATTTTCTTGTGAAACTGATTTCTTCCTGTATCTGATGTGAATCAATTTTCAATCAGTAAGTAGGAAATCACTCTCTGACACCCTAACTAGAAACACGGTTAATTTTAATCTGGATTAAATGAGAAGAGTCTTGATCAGGGACTTGCAATCTTGAAAATTTAGCCATTGAAATTGAACCATAACTTATTTTATACTAGGGCTGGGCGATAAACCGAAAATTTACCAATAACGAAATTTACAACAATAACCGATGTCATTTTGCCCATATTGATATATTCTGTGTCAAATATATAAATAATAGTTGGTTTTGGATGTGTGAAGGTAGACTATGGTGTCATGTCCCTTTTGAGATGCTGTCTTAATGTGACTCCACCCCATCCAGTCCGTAACAAAGAGGGAAAGACAGGTGAGGAGATGGAGGACGGTGGCTGAAGTAGACGAAGTTAATGTGGGAGGGGGTGAGCAGCTTGTGGAGTAGTTATCGTCCATTTATCGTTATCAAGGTGAACTGCCCAATATATCGTGATGCTGATTTGAGGCCATATCGCCCAGCCCTATTCGGGACCATGTTAGGCTCGTTTTTTCCTACGTTGCAGATGAAGTGCACCCTTTCTTCCTTCATAGCAGAACCTGTACTCTTCCCCGAATTTGGGTTAGGGGTTTGGTACTCAGATCTTTTTGTGACAAAGTTTGGGGCGCAAGAAAGCTGGAAAGAGGCAGGTAGAGGAGCAGGAGGATTGTGTAGGTATGTGTCTGAAAAGCCAAGGGACAGAATGATCAAGTTTTAGAGAGAGGTGTCACCACGCTCAAGAGTGACATTGGTCTGTGTCGTGAAAACGATTTAAGCCAGGTCTAGATGTGATAACTCGGTCTTTCAAACCACATCTAAAAAACAGTGTGAAAATACCCTACTACCTTTTAATTTATTGAACGTTTGCATCAAAATTAAGTCAAAAGTCTTAAATAGAAGTGAAGAGCTGATGAATCACCTGAGTAGACAGTCAGGTATGTTTTAGTAAACAAATAGTAAAACCGTTGGTGGCAGGTCCCCTTTAATATATTTTTCAATAATTTAAAGTTTTAAAAGAGGTTTTAAGTTCCCTCAATACATTTCAGGAGTCACCATGTTTAATAATTATGATCTCAATATCAATATCAATGTCTACAGAGGCGGTATGTTTGTATTTTTGTACCTGCTGCAATTTAAGTTGGTAAAATATGGTCAATTATGTCAGAATTGACGTTGATATGGACTCTCATGTTGTTTCCATGCTTTTGCAGCCAGCCTCTAACCTGCATCAGCTTCATTTTTAACACTAGAAGTTTCTCTTTAGTTGTACCAAAAAGTTGATGATTAGATTTTCCTAAAATAGAAAAAATAGCAACTTTAAGAAAAGAAAGGGTTTAGTTCTGAAACCTGTTGGTTCACAGCCCGGATCAGTGGCTCCGTGAATGAATCAGTGAAATAAAAGAGTTCCACTGAGGCACCTTTGACCCTTTGTTGCCTGCCTGGTGGTTTACCATGGAAGGCTGCCACGAGCGCCAGTCCGTCCAAAGCTCAAACTTCAACACAGACGTTCAGTCAAAACAGATGTTTACATAGTCGATGGGTAACAGCCGAACTGTTGAGCCACACAGCCTGAAGAACTGAGTGAGTTACCTCAACTATTTTATCTTTTGGATTTGGATTTTGAAGACGTTGATGGGCTAACAGCTTTTAAAAAACCGAAACAAGTTGACCTCAGTGAGTGTTTTATTCAGCATGTCGAAGAAAGTATTCAGTTTTCAAATGTCATCCATGTGTTTCGTTTCTCTGATTGTGCATCGTTGAGTTCTTTGTACCTGATTTACGGTCAGGCTGTATAAGTGGATCTATCCCCGCTGCTGTGTTGCTTATTTTTCAGATCCTTGATTGGGTTTATTTAGCACTCGGAGTTCCTTTCCTCATGGACACAATAACATTTCTATTGAACGAAACAGTGCATTCAACAACAGCCGAATCATAGAGTGAGAGAATCTGAAATATCCCTCTGTCGGTGTGGTTTGAATGAGTTTTATTGTGTTGTTTGAGAGGAAATTCCCCTCTGGACTTGGCTGTCTTTTAGAGTTGTTAGATAATAGTTTAAATTGTGATAAATAAAAGAGAAAAGGAGCGCATTGGTGTTCCCCTCAGCATGTTACAGAAGACCTACAATAACCAGAATGCAATGGGCCTGTTGGCTTTTATAGCTACTCATTGACTTTTCTGCTCTACCTAAAGATGCCAGAACTTCAGACCCTTTTCAAATTCTGACTGTCTCATTCCAGCATCTTATGAATAAATTTTGTTCTGTAATTCAGTGCATAACTAGAAAATCTCTTCACTTCAAAGGCTGATCGGAATGAAGCAAATCCTTTCTGGAAAATTGAGTTTAACCAACTAAAAAGGAGCATGTAAATTAAGTCTGCTGTCTTTTATAATGCTGCTTTGATAATGATGACCTGCATTAACCCCAAATAAAACCAAAGTTAGCAACTTTCATGGTGGTTAAACAAGGCTTTAAACGTGGATTGGGCCAACTCCAACGCAACTAAAATATGATAAAAACAAATTTTGTGACTCAGATCTACATCCAAAATTCCTTTAATTGCTGATTTGATTAAAACTGGAATTTTGGAATTCAGAAAATCTTACAGAAAATCTAATCAAACCTTGCAAGCTTTATAAAGCCTTGAAACTTTGGACAATATCTGAAACTTCACCAAAATTGTTTGATCTTGCCTTAACCTGTACGTTTTCAAAATTACGTCTTTAACCTTTAAAACCTTGATTCTACAATTATTTTTCAGAGCGGATACTAATAACAGTTATTTACCATGTTAAAAAAAAAAATGTTAGGCGTCCACTAGGCCACTTCTTCGTGCCTTTTTTGTTTGAGTTTACTGACCAATCAGAAGCCATGTTCCAAACTTTCCTGCCAGTCAGCTGCTCTCTTACAAATGTGAGTCAGTGTTAATGGACCAGAACCAGCGCTTTCATTGCCCAAGTCAGTCACTCAGGTGGATGTGTACTGTGCTACTCCAAAAAGCCTTAAAAATATCGCAACTTTTAAAAAAGCTACTGTTACACTCAGCCACAACAATCACAAAGCGGGCTCGCACAAACGTTGAAAAACTAGTTTTGTCGTCAAATCACCACAAACGTTGAGGGTTAGTTGGATGGATTCAGCCTATTCTAACTTGACATCTTCAAGGTTTATACCTGATTGTAAAACAGTCTGATGTTCAGGGTTCCCACGCAAGTATGGAAATAAATTTGATCAATTTCCAGGTCTTAAAAAGTATGGAAATTGTAAAATAAAGAATGGAAAAGTATTGATGTTTTCAGGCTATTACCACTGTTCTAAAATACTGTTTTCTAAAAAAAGAAAAGTAGATATTTCCCAAAAAAAATTTCTAAAAATTTTGGTATGGAAAAGTATGGAAATTCCAACTGTGTAGGAACCCTGGATATTGGCTTTACCCCAAATCAAAGGCTGAACTCTGAGCTTTAAATGAGCCACCTGCTTCCCAAAATAACCACTACAGTCTTAAATCAACCAGAGCTACTGGTGCTTTTTAGCCGCTCTTGAAAACTTTCACAGATAAGGTTGCATGTTACCCGAGTTTACAGTACAAGCTCTGGTGTTGACATGGAAAATAGTGTCATGAGCAGCATGTTGGCTGGTTTTGAAGAGTTCATACTCTAAATGAGGCGCCTAAATTAGGACGCACTGTGGTTGTATTTTCGTACCCGGTGTCCAGGTTGAGCAGATAAGGGTGTATTGTTGTGCTACAGGCCACTTTGACCTGACATGGATGAGACGCGTTGACAGTTGATGCGACTGACCTTAGGACAATTTGGCATCGTCTCTCGTGTCCAACTTTGCAGAACTGTTGAAAACTTTAGAAAAACAGTCCATGTGGTGAAACACTTCGAACACTCGTCTGAGAGCAGTTTTGTGCAATACAGCGTTGACTGACGTTCAAAATGTGCAAAAAAAGTAGATGCCATCAGCAACTAATACCTGCCATTGACCTCAATCTTTTAGTTTTGTAATAAATGATATATACTTCTTTATTGAAGGACCGTTTTTGATCCATTCATACATGGTACTGTTGCTCTTGAGCTTCAAGTCCCAGTCCCAGTATATTAGGGCTGCAACCATTCCTGATTAGAACTCCACTCATGTATAAAGTTTTAAGGCCTCCATTTTTAAAAAGTTGAATTTTGGATTTGATTGGAAGTATTTTTGCACCGTTAAAACAACCAAACAAACTCCCCCCTTGTCTCTGCACTTGTGCTACCGTGTAGTTGTTCAGGGACAACAAGTTTTAAAGAGAGGGAATCTGTTTCTGGCCAAAACTGCGTGAACCTTCACCCTCGGGCTGCTCTTTCTGCTCCAAGTTTTTGGCAGGTTTTGGTCACAAAAACTTGGAGCAGAAAGCTGCCGGTGGTTAAGGTGATATGACATGTCATGGGCAGAAAATCCTCTGAAATATTTCCCCCCTGCAAACAAACTTAGTGGCTCTTGTATGGGGTCCATTATATTCGTGTAGCTTCGATAATTTGATTTTTAGTGGAAACTGAAAAGCATACAAAGAGTGTTTTAATTTATATTTGGACCATTTAGACTTTGTAGACCCCCAGAGAATCTGTCTAAGGTTAATAAAGGCCAAGAAATACAAACAACGGACATAAATTTAGCCCTTGGTCCACCTTCAGAGTCTCCTCAGTCCGAGCGTGTTCCTTGAAGCTCCCATAATCACTGATAGGTATGGTTTTGTCTGCACGTGCAGCAGCAGCAGGGTTTCATTTTGCCCTCTGACTTTAATTCACAAAGAAAAGAAAACATCCCACTATCTTCGGTTACTTGTGCTTTCTCGAATGTGTCCTTGGGAAGGTAGAACAACCACAATGACGATCCCCGCGAGCTCCCACCTAATTCACACCAGCCGGCCCGATACTGTGATAACCAAACCAAACACAACAGGTTGGGAGTTTCATGTAGTCTAGACTAAATGAATTAAAAATCTTGTTTTATCTTTTCAAAACAAAAACTGGAACAAAAGCTCAAAAGAGAAGAAAAAATCTGTGTTTTCATGAGATGTCTTATGAGTGAAATGGATTTGAATAAATGTGTCCCTCCAATCCAACAATAAGGTTTATAAAAAATGATCCCGTGAATTTAAGTTTCTCTTTTCAAGTCCTTCTAAATTGTGGATTGCTTTAAGATAATTCTTAGATTACATCCCAGTATTTCTCCTCTGCAGGACTTGTCCGCTTCAGAATATGCATTAAAGAAACCAGCAGTCGTCATATTCCTCAGCACTGTCAACAAACACAGTAGATTCCCTTCCCCCTGACATGGCCTCCTCTCCCGGGCTGGACACTGACCCCACACCTCTGCTTCAGCTCCAGGAGGTGGACTCCAGCAAAGCCTCCGAGAGGCCCAGCTCTCCGGGACTCATGCCCGCCGTGTACAGCCCTCCTCGGAGCATGGACAGCCACACCGTCTACATCCCCTCTCCATACACGGACAATAGCCATGAGTATAACCACAGTCATGGACCTCTGACCTTCTACAGCCCCTCTGTGTTGAGCTATGCCAGGCCACCCACCACGGACAGCCCATCATCCCTGTGTGCCCCTCTTAGTCCTTCAGCCTTCTGGCCCCCCCACAGTCACCCCAACATGCCCTCATTGTCCCTGCGCTGCCCACAGCCTCTTGTCTACAACGAACCGAGCCTACATGCACCTTGGCTGGAGCCTAAATCCCACAGCATCAACGGGAGCAGGTAGGTTTTCAGACACTGACCCATGGATGTGGAAGTCCAAAACCTGAGGCAGGCAGAGCACGTTACCCCTCTACCCCTGAAAAGTTGAGGCAGGGAGAGCAGCAGCAAAAACCTCCAGGGTCGAGACAAGACGATAAAATCAGTTACAGCACAAAAAAGAAGAGCTGAGGTGAAGGAAGCAGGAGTGGACAGGCTTGAACAGGTCAAATAGAGCACTTAGGTACTAAAATATAGTTTTTTACGGGGCGGCCCGTAAAACCAGGTTAGGCACTGTCAGTTGAGCTCGACATCATGGCCTGAAAACACTAAGACTCAGCTCAATCAAACACAGATTTTAACAGTTTTATTAGCTCACTGTAAACTCTAAATATCAATCCTGTTGCACTGCCAAAGCCCATATTGTGCTGCTTTCTGCCTGCTTTCTTCAATTTGGTGGATGTCTCTTTCGCTTGGCACCTCATGTTTCAAAATTCTTGGATAATTTCTGCTTGGTGTCCCACCTTTTTGGCTCTTCTTTTTCTCTCCTGTTGTCAACCAAGTTTTTGGCCGTACTGTCCACTCATAACCACACCCAAAAGTGACGTTAGATAGTTTAAAGTTTGAGTTTGTTTACTCTGAACTCTTGAGTTCTCTGGTTCCAGCTCTTCCTTTCATATAGTTTTTGTCTGTGGTATCAGTTAAGTTTTCATGATGGCACTAGCCTTTGATGCAGGAGATTTACGCCCATTATGTCTCAATGATAAGTTTTCAGATGCTATTTTCTCAGTTGACAGAAATGTGCCTATGGAGACATTTTCAGAGTGACAACTGCTGAATGATGGGCGAAAAATTCCAAATGTCAAGTTGCCCCTCTTTCACAGAGTTTTTGGTTTCTCCTGCAGCTCCATCATCAGCTGTAACAAGCCGCCTGGGAAGAGATCGGAGGAAAGAGTGAACGGTGTGAACCCCTCCTTGTGTTCATCAGCTGTAGGGAAAGCCGACATGCACTTCTGCGCCGTGTGTCACGACTACGCCTCGGGGTACCACTATGGCGTGTGGTCCTGCGAGGGCTGCAAAGCATTCTTTAAGAGGAGCATCCAAGGTACGACTCAGTACTTTTGTTTGTGTACACTCAACTTTTCCTCTTTCTCTAAGAAATAACTCTGCTAACTTTCATCTTCAGGACACAATGACTACATCTGCCCAGCAACCAATCAATGCACTATCGACAAGAACCGGCGTAAGAGCTGCCAGGCCTGCCGTCTACGTAAATGCTACGAAGTAGGCATGATGAAATGCGGTGAGTGCTTTCTTTAGTTAAATAGGATGTTTCTGCTCTCATTTATACTGGAAAACTAAATGGAAGTCTGGTTTTCCCTTCTCTATCAAGTGTGTATGCTAAGCTAACTGCTAACCACCTGCCTGCTATATGTTTGTAATCAGAGGACAGGTAGTACATGTGAGGTGTCAATCTTCTCGCCAAACTCTGGGCAAGAAGGTAAAAAGGTTCATTCCCAAAAATGTTGAACTATTTCTTAAGGAGGTGAAAGAAGCCCGATTTCAGGACTTCAGTTAGCTAAAGTAAATCTCTGTAAACACAGCAAAGATTCAGAAAGGGTCTCAACAGTTTTTGCTTCTTGATTTCTATCTTTATGTTTGGGTTCATCTGGTAATAAAACAGATAAGCAAACAACACAAAAACTAATAAATGGGTGTAGGCTTAAATATATATTCATATCCATTTGCAAACATTTACAAACAGGTTTTCGTCGTTGATTTTTGTTGCTGTTTCATGATCGTTGCACTTTGCCTTCTCCACCAGGTGTAAGGCGTGAGCGCTGCAGCTATCGAGGAGCCCGACTCCGACGCGGTGGACTCCAATCCCGGGATTCCACCGGCAGGGGTTTGGTCAGGATGGGGCTCGGTCCTCGAGGCCAACGGCATCTTCACCTGGAGGGTCCCCTCGGCCCGGCGACCCCCCTCCCTCGGGTGAACCACTCACACCACGCAGACATGAGCCCGGAGGAGTTCATCTCACGCATCATGGAAGCAGAGCCGCCGGAGATCTACCTCATGGAGGATCTGAAGAAGCCCTTCACCGAGGCCAGCATGATGATGTCCCTCACCAACCTGGCAGACAAGGAGCTGGTCCTCATGATCAGCTGGGCTAAAAAGATCCCTGGTAAGATGAAAGTTGGTAAACGTTTATGGCGCATATTACCACAAAAAAAAATTTCAGTGCTCTGCATTAAAGGGATATTATGGCGTAAAATTAATTTTGGGTCAAACACACCGTAACACCGAGTTAGACACCCCCTCAAGAGATGAATGCTGTCGACCGCTTGCTTTTCTAGTTATACTAACTTTAGTAATGACCACACGATAGCAATATACAGCGTTCTGAGGAGTCATAAACAAACCTCAACCAAAACGCCACTCTATAGCCACAAATAATGCTCAGAACAGCACCTAACTTCATCAACAGTACATATAGGGTCCCAGCCATAGTACTAGCCACCAAACATCTTTTTAACTTTGCCTAATTTCTTTAGCAAAGAGACTAAACACAACTCACCTACTCTCTTCCAGCAGCCGTTTGTTTGTAGCAAGACCTCGGGCCAGTCCATTATGGACTACAGCGGGGGTGACGCAGCTCAAGGAAGAACATTTATGAGTGGCGTTTTGGTTGAGGTTTGTTTATGGCTCCTCAGACCGCTGTGTATTGCTATCGTGAGGTTGTTACTGAAATTGGTATAACTAGAGAAACAAGCGATCAGCAACATTCATCTCTCGAGGGGGTGTCTAACTCGGTGTTATGGTGTGTTTTACCCTAAATTAATTTTACGTTGGAATATCCCTTTAACTCGACTGTTAGGGCAGGAGCTCCTTCTATAAAGTCATTTCTGTCAGTGATGAACCCGTTTGCCTCTGTAGGTCATTTGTTGAAAGTTTAAGGCTGTTTTTATTACTAGTGAAAAATTCCTTACCGTAGCTTTAAAACTAATTAATCATAAAAAGAATAGATGTTACAGTTTCTTATGGACAGTTTTATGGTGACTATCTGAAAAGTGAACCTTTCCTAACTTGATTAAGGATTGTCTCTTCTTTGCTGCCATACTCAGTGAAAGGAGATATCAGTAAACAGGATCAGGACAACTTTGCAACCAAACATGCTGCTTATTTTGCTCGGTTATGTTAATTAAGGTTCATATGACCATGTGTTTACAGCACTTAAGTGATCATCTTGATTAAGTTTCATCACAGACTGATTGAAAAAGTCACAAGAACTCAAGTTTTCCCACTTTTTACCAGCTATTAAAAAGTCATCATCAGAGGAAACATTAGAGTCATGAGTTTAGTGAAAATGAGTGGAGGTCAGTGGAGCAGGTTTGGCTTAGTCATCATCAACAGTGTGTGGAAAACAGTCTTTATAAATAACCGGTCTGAGGGTTATAAAGGTAAAAACAAACCAGAGGCCACAGTAAACATGTGATTCATCTGAATAATGATTGTGTTGGGCTTGATGTTAAAAAACAGAAGAGTTTGGACTACAGACGGCGCTGATAGATGAATGAATGAATGAATGATACTCAGTGGTTTAGGTCTGCATGTAAAGGCTGCACTGATCCTGTCTCCCTGTCCTCACTCTTTTCTTATTCCCCTCTCCTCTCCTCTTATCTCCTCTCCTTCTCTCAGCCAGTGTTAAGCTCAGCAGGTAACTCCCCAGGAGAGGTGTAAATGTGAGGGGATCACAAAGACTCCCACTTTTTTTTTTTTTTCCCCGAATAAAGACCATTTTTACAGACTTTCTCTCTACGCTCTGACAGAAGTGAAAATTAGTGCGCATTCACCGCTTTAGAAAAGATGTAAGACAGCACAGGCAGGTGAGCGAGGCGCTGACAAGTAAAACACAAAGTTGCTGTTCAATTTGTGTCATTGTTAACTTCTCTAGTAGCACATTTTCAGGATTTTCTGCATCTGTCCATCCGCTCGCTTTTAGACCCGTGTTTACTGGCTGGAGTTTCTGCTGAAACCAAGTGACGTTTCTTCTTTGTCTGTGGTGTCCCCAGTAGGTCAGGTAGATGTTTAGCCTTGTATTTGGCTGAAAGAGTAAATAGTCCTTTGTATTCATGATAATAAATGTTCTTTACAGATTCACATTTTTTATTTTACAACAGTTACAAACTAAAAACCTCTTGAAAAGACGAGACCTTTGAGGTGCTGAGTGAGACCACAGAGCTCAGCTGTAGCTGTTGTGTGTTTGACTTTAAGCTCCTGTCAGGGATTTTCAGCATGTGTCAGAAATGAGGGTACACAAGCTGCAAATCGTTTCCCTGTTTGTTCTGTTCAGTGTTTCCCCTAGAATTTTACCGCCATTCTCTTGCCACTCACGCTGTAACATTACATTACGTTACCTGCTCTACTCGCTAAAGACCGTGTTTAAGCTTGAACGTTACCTTTCACATTAATGGAAGAGGGTCCGACAGGATTTGATGCCCTTGTTAAAAACTCAAAACAAGTCGAAAATAACGCCGTGTGTTGTTTTGCTCACACAATGCGAATAGAACTCATTAGTGGCGCATTGATATTAATGCTATTCGCTATATATGGTGCGTTCGAGTTACCTCGGAAGTCAGATGTTGGAGCTGAAAATGACGTCACACCCGAGTTACCAGCGTTTCAGTTGCCGAGTCAGAAATAAAGCCAAATCGGCGGCCAGAAACAAGATGGCTACATCTAAGAAAGTTATTTTAGCGCTTGCCTCATATTCGGATTGTTTGTATTGAGACCTCAGTGCCAGTCCATTACGGACTACAGGGGGGTGACGCAGCTCAAGGAAGAACATTTATGGTGTTTATGAGTGGCATTTTGGTTGAGGTTTGTTTATGGCTATCGTATTGCTATCGTGCGGTCGTTACTAAAATTGGTATAACTAGAGAAGCAAGCGGTCGACAACATTCATCTCTCGACGGGGGTGTCTAATTCAGTGTTACGGTGTGTTTGACCCTAAATTAATTTTACACCGGAATATCCCTTTATATATCTTGCTTGCCTCATATTTGGACAAGGCGAGCACTAAATTAACTTTCGTAGATGTAGCGGTGCGCCGCTGCTGAATGAATGTAGGGGAAACACTGCTGTTTGCTTTTGGATGTTATAAAAAAGGATTAGTATAAATTTTGGTTTATTTTATAATTGTAAAAAAAAACTTCCTCTAGGAGCTTTAACTGCTCTCTCCAGCCCACACAAGAAAGATGTTGTCTGAAGCTAATTTAACTGATTTAAGACTTGCAGTTCATCTTTTTTGCTAAGCTAGGCTCAAGTTTTGGATCAAGCAACTTTAAAGATGAACTGTTATGAAAATAATCCCCCTAATCCATGTAGATTACAAACGTCAGAAGCATTTTATGACTCTCTTTAAATGGCGCCTGTCATTCTGTTCGTCTTCAGGTTTTGTCGAGCTGAGTCTGGCAGATCAGATCCACCTCCTGAAGTGCTGCTGGTTGGAAATCCTGATGCTGGGCCTGATGTGGAGGTCTGTAGATCATCCTGGAAAATTAATCTTCTCCCCGGACTTCAAACTCAACAGGTGAGTCGGATTTGGCATCTTTCATACCCTCTGTCGTCAGCGGTGCACTTCAGGGTTTAGGCATCAGTGGAGGGAGTTTTTGTGAGACAGACTCTTGGACTCCTTCATGCTAGGACTTGAAATGAGCTTCTGTCTGTAGTAACAGTGGGGGCCTGGAAATAGCCGTCGCCTCTGCGTGGAGGTTTTATGGCTCGTGATGAAGTGCTCGGTCTCGTGTGCAGCTGCTCCATGTTTGCCATAACAGTGTTGGTGGTTACGGTGTTATCTTCCCACATTGTTACACTCTGCTGACGGGCTGACATCACACAATAAACGGAGAGTTCAATCAGACCTTGGAGCAGTAAAGATATCAGAAACATTTGCTGCAGATTTATCTCCGATTCTCCCGGGCTGCCGGGTCGTTTTCTTGCCAAAAATCTTTTATCACTCGCTGTTCCCTCCAGGCTGACCTTCAACTTTGGCCAGACAGCGGCTGGCTCTTTCTGGCACCTCACTTCAGCCTTTGTATTCACGGTAAACACGCTGTAATTAGGCTACCACTTACCAGCCTGTGAGCGCTTCACCTCCAATTTATCAGATATTTAAAGCAGCATGTTTCCTTTTTAGAGACCAGAGTGCATGAAGTTAAGCTTTATGTTTTTGTAGCTGTTGGCTGAATGTGCAGAGAGGCTTTCAGCAGCATATCAAACAAACACAGATGACATTCAGTCAGGTGTCTCTTTTTTTTCAGGCTTTTAGTGCTTTTTAATTCAGTTATCAAATCCAAGTCATGCTTGAATTATTCACTAACAGACATTTTGATTTAAATGAAATTTGCAGCTGATGTTCATGGGACTCAGAGGATTACAAACATTATAATGAACCTCCATGAAGCTGAAATTTCCACTTGAGCTCCAACTACATAAAAGATGTTGTGTTTAACTTTATTTAAAATCGTATTTCTAAAGATATAATTGTCTTTTTGGAAAAGTTGAACATTAATTTTGTGTTAAAAATAAGAATACTGAAATGTTGTGAGTTCCTCGCTGTAAAACAGATCTGAGATGATGAAGAAGAGGAAGCAGCTGACAGCGATGAGAGATGATTGAACACTTTTAAAAACTGACATTCAAAGATTTACTGTGAATCTTACAACAACATTAGAGCTTGTGTCTCAACTTACTATAAGCAGGAAGTAGCTCTTACTTCAAAATAAAAGCATAGTTTTATTATACAGGAAATAAAATAACCCAAACAGAAGCACGACAGTTACATTTTATGAGGTAAACAAGTTTCAGTCACAGGGATGAAGATGAGGATAAATCAATTAATCTTTATTTGTATTCCACTTTTCATACAAGACAATATAACACAAAGTGCTTTACTCAGAAGAAGAATAAAAGAAAGAAAGAATACCCATCTCTTCATCACTTCATCACTACATTCAAGCACAATGGAAGTGAGTTTTAAAAGACATTAACTTGAAAGAAACGTTGTCTTAAAATTCAAGATGAGGAAACACTGAAGGTTAGGTTAAAATCTAAAGATAAAGTAACATACAATTAAATTTAAGAAATACAAAAAAGTCAAAAGATGGACTAAAATAGGAGTACCAAAATAGCAGACGATCCTGACATCAAAACTAGAGAGATTAATGCTGAAATACTTGAACAAAATGAAGTTAATGATATAAAATTAAGTTAAAAGAGACTCAAAAGGGATGTCTTGAGTTTGCTTTTAAAATCATTAAGATTGGGTGCAGCCCTCAGTTCTTTAGGGAAGCTGTTTGATGGCTGAGGCCGCAGTAATAAAAGGATTAATTATTAATTTGAACATTAGTAAAAGTGGATTATGATGTTAAATTGTTTTTGTTTAATAGTAAAGTCTAGAAAAGTTTTGTGCTGCTTATCTGGTGAAGAAAGACGCTGTAGAAAACTGTTCAAACTTTGACTCCTTTTAAGGATCCATTATATCTGTTTATAGGAATATGTTTTAACATTTAAACTCTGAACACTTCCTGGTATTCACTTCTGTCTAATAATGAGGAGATCAAAGATTTTAATCCCGCTTCTAACAACGACAAGAAACTTAAAAGACCGATGTTGATGAAAATGAAAGATCATCATTTATCAGCCGCTGCAGCAGAGGAGCTCATTGGTGTATTTTTAGTATTTTGTGCAGCGACAGAGCTCTTTAACACAGAGGATAAAACATCAGGCTTTAGATAAACAAGGTATTTGTTACAGAATACATTCACATCTTAAATTAAAAGCAGGATCAGCTTTTTTTCCTCTTCCTGGCGCGTTGAGTTTAATGTTTGACCTTTCTTCCTCCACTACCAGGGAAACTATCACTATAGGCTTAGCTCAACCTTGATGTGTTTACATAACACTGTCTTATTTTTCTCTGCTGAGTGGTCCCTGTGAGTCTGTGCTAGCTTTTTCTCCTTGAAAAGCTCCGGAAAACATCCTGGATGCAAATCCATCAATTCACTCCACTGGAGGACGCACCGAAACCAGAGCGTAGAGTCATAATCTGATGTTGTTTCTGAAGTTTAGGTCGATCGAAGAATAAAAAAAAAAAATCCTGTTTCAAGTTCAAGAAGCTGTTGCTAAGAAACGATGAGTTTGAGGTTCACAGTTTTAGTCTAAGAGTTTAATATTTTTGTTCTCAGTGTTATTTTGAGAACAGATCAGAGGAGTTTGATAAGGATGTTTTCGTTCCCACTTTCTGAGTCAGCAGATAAATGAGTTTCACAGTTGATCCAGAGTTTATTTTCATCTTTGATACTCTGTCCGCTGAAGTAAAGTCCTAATCCAAAAACACGAGTTCACACCGTCACTAAGTCTTCTCTTCACCCTGAGTGTCACTCACTCAACTTTTTATTACTCAGACTTAAACTTTGTCATCTGACTACAAACTTCTGCTTCTGATTGTTTGAGGCGTGGACGCTCCACTTTCATATTAGAAACAGCTGCAGCTGATCGAGTAGGAAGAAGGATGAGAAGACCTTTGAACAGCTTGGCAGACCTCCTTTTACGAGGATGTGGTCACGTTCTGAGGACCGTGTTTACATTCTCATTAGATCCTGATTCAGTCTGATTTATTACCAGACTGGGAGTCACGCCTCTCCTCCTAAAACCCAGTAAAGAGAGCAGAAAAGAGCTGCCAATCAATCATCTTTTTAACACTAAATCTTTATATATCTGTACTATGCTCCTGTAATTTTTTCTTCTCACTTAATTTCTCTCTTTTTTGCCTTTTACGTTTCTACGCTCTCTGACTCTCTTCTTCTTCTCTTTCTCTCCGTTCCTTCAGGGAGGAGGGACAGTGCGTGGAGGGCATCATGGAGATCTTCGACATGCTGCTGGCCGCCACCTCTCGCTTTCGTGAGCTGAAGCTCCAGAGGGAGGAGTACGTCTGTCTGAAGGCCATGATCCTTCTCAACTCCAGTGAGTTTCTCTCCATCCCAGTCGAGTCGAGTCGAGTCGAGTGTGTGTGTTTTTGAACTCTTACATAACCCGGAGAAATCTGTCCCCTTTCGCTCTGTTTTTACTGAAATCTGGAACAAAGTGGGTCATTGACGTCCGTCACATATTTGACCTGCACAGTAAAGCAAATCTGACCAGAGCAAACATCAGGATGTGTTTAAAGAAGGAGGTTAGAGAGACTTTACAGCAGAGAAAATGGGATCCAAGTAGAATTATTGGGATTATATGGGAATTAACTTGAAATTGGGGGATATTTAAACAAACTGTATCATATCCAAACATAAATGTAAATATTTTTCTTTTGTCATAAGCAGACATCCATGCAAAATAATACAATTAAAAAACATTTAAACACAATTATTCGAGTGGCGATGGCGAGAGGGAACGTGGCATTTTTCTGAGGAATGAAATAACAAAAAAACACTAATGCAATGGCAAAAACAAAAATATAGTTGGCTAAATAACTTGAATGATCTTCAAAATATTTGACAATTGTTGTATAAATTATTGTTTGGTCACAGAAAACCGTCTTGCAGGAGTCAGAAGAAACAGCATCACATTCGAGGTAGCTACCACCATAACAAGCGAGCCAATGAAATGAAAGATAGTTTACATTAAGCACCTATTTGTATTAAATTTTTGCAAGTGAAATATTAATACGATTTTAGATCAAATATATTTACCCCATAATAATATTATCAGTACTTACTGTGGGAATTTCCCAGTTTGGTATCTATCTATCTATCTATCTATCTATCTATCTATCTATCTATCTATCTATCTATCTATCTATCTATCTATCTATCTATCTATCTATCTATCTATCTATCTATCTATCTATCTATCTATCTATCTATCTATCTATCTATCTATCTATCTATCTATCTATCTATCTATCTATCTATCTATCTATCTATCTATCTATCTATCTATCTATCTATCTATCTATCTATCTATCTATCTATCTATCTATCTATCTATCTATCTCTGACTTTATATAGTCTGTGGGCTCAAAAGTGTGCCATCCAGGGTTCAAGAAATCATCTGTGCTTGTAATGGAAGAATGTACAGTGCATGTAGGGGGTGTGGCCTCAACATCCCTGCAGTTAGCAGTGTACTGTATTCATGTGAATGAGGAGTGTGCTTGCATTAATTATACTACAATATATTTTCCCCAATATATTGCAACCCTACATCCAAGTAATGTCACGAATATTTGCTGGTATCAGATTGATTTGTGCAGTTTGTAGGAAAAGACAATGTTTATTATGAATAACTCGCTCAGATCCAACTTGAGTTTTATGTCAGTGAAGTTTGTTGAGACTTTTGAAAAGTTTCTGTAAAAGTTTTGTGTTTTCAGTTTTAAGAACTTTGTTTATAGTAGCTGCACACGCAGACCTGAGGAAGTTGTTGTAACTTTCCTCTTTTACATAATTCATTTTCTGTGGAGTGCGTTCGTCACATAAATCTGTTTCGGAGTACATGAGACAAAAACTGGGGCGTCTGGCAGCCTCCACACACGCTCCACTCTCTGCGCTCGCTTTCAAGTTTTCTTGTATTTCATTGATTTAAAGTCGAGTCGGAGTCATGCATTGAGAATCTCACAATAAAAGGCTTTTTACGACCATATCGGTGACCTTTTAAAGTACTGTACTCCAGGTTACACTTGGCTAGTCTCTGGATGTGATTCCATTAAAAGTCGTCCTCCCACTCGGTTGGATTGGCTAAACTTTCGGCTTGTTTGAAGAAGATTCCGGATGAAATGACCTGTGGAGATGGTCTATATTGTTTTTAGTCTTTCATGTGATCCGGCCGGTCACAGTGTCCTCTCCCAGTCCCCCCCATCACCACCAGCAGCCACTGTGCAAGTTTCATCGAGGTGATCGACCTTTCTGCGTGTCCTCGCACAGTTTAACTAAGTTCCTCCTCCTCTCCTACACACACACACACACACAGAGGATCTGCTGCCAGACTCTGCTCTCTCTCTGTTGACTCTGCTCCTCTGCAGCTGGGGCGAAAAAAGAACAAATTGTGAAAGAAGTGATTTGGAGTCTGAAAAGTCACAAAGAACAGGGAGGAATTTGAGGATTTATGGGCTGAGTGAAAGAACACCAGGGCTTAGTGTGTCCTCCTGACTCAAGGCTGGGTGGACAGTTTGATGTATACTCTCTCTCTGCTGCCCCCTGAGGTAACACCTGGAACACCCATCATGATGTTGTCAGAGCTGTTTGAGCCTGAAGAACTTAAGACTTCTTAGTGTTCGGCAAAATCAGCAATGTGCAGTTTTTGTGCAGCTGTGTAGCTCTGCCTAGTGTTCAATGGTATGGGCAAAATCTTAATATCAAGACAACAGTATATATAACAGTATGTTTTTCACTCTGTAAATTTCAATTAATGGCTCAGACCAGTCTGGCGATTTTTTTCATCATATGGCAGATTTTTGGCGAAAGTTTCTGCCACCGAGCACCGGCCGCACCATCTTTAGGCTGTCATCGTGGAGCTTGGCGTGTTTCATCTTCAGGTGGTGGAAGCGGTTTCTGGTGTTTCCTCCTCCAGCAACGACAGCCACACGACACTCTGCATAGTTTTTTGATCATCGTTGGATTTTCTAAATCCAGAGAATCTCCAGACAATCGATGTCGTGACTTGCACCCTTTTTCGAAACGAGTTCCTCCTCCTCTTCTCCATGTTGGGTGGGTTGGGCTGCCTCCGTTTTCCTTGGGTTGGGTATCGTTTGATTTTGAACGATTCTGGTTCTCTATTCCGATACTCTTAAAAAGGCAGGATATTAAAAAAAATGGATGGTTTAAAAGAGGGTGCTAACCAGAGTTCTTCTTTTTGGATGAAATTTCGGAACTTCTGAACCTCGTCGGTGTTCGGCAGCTTCTTCTTCATTGGTGCTTAGCGGCGTCTTCCTCATTGGTGTTCGGCTGCTTTTTCTTCCGGTCGGCCGGACTCCGGCATCGAAACTTGGAAATTGAACGGTTCCGGTAAAATCGGAATGTCAGTCCTGGTCCCCATAGATGCTCGAGACTCGATGCCCAACCCTAGTACTGCCACTAATGTCGGCGTCCACCATGACCACCACTAGTGAAGCTGTTTCTCCTTCGTCGAAACTATGCCAAGCAGTCTGCTGGAAACGCTGGTGATTAAAGGGAACGCACCCAAACCTGAGCGAACAAACTCTGCACGACATGACATGACTCAGAGAATTGCAGCAGACATCTGCTCTCTCTCTCTCCCCGGTATAAACGGTAAAGCAAAATTTCTTACGGTAGACACTTTTATACCATCACACGGTAAACCGTCATACCGCCCAACTCGTGGACAGTACAGTCTTCAAACAGGAGGTTTTGTTCAGTCCCTGATGTGTCAATTGTGTTCCAGATCTGTGCACGAGTTCCCCTCAGACGGCAGAGGAGCTGGAGAGCAGGAACAAGCTGCTCCGTCTGCTGGACTCTGTGATTGATGCTCTGGTCTGGGCCATTTCTAAACTGGGCTTGTCGACCCAGCAGCAGACTCTGCGCCTCGGACACCTCACCATGCTGCTCTCCCACATCCGCCACGTCAGGTACAGCCAGAGACCGGACCTCAGCAGAGTCCAGAGAGGAGGATGGAAAAACCACACACAGTCATAGATATTTACAAACTAGATGTCTCTGTGTTTTATGACTACGTGTGGACAGATGTGATTTATTATTTATCTGTAATAAACACTTTCCATCTCTGTTCAGTAACAAAGGCATGGACCATCTCTCCACCATGAAGAGGAAGAACGTGGTCCTGGTCTACGACCTCCTCCTGGAGATGCTGGACGCCAACACTAACACTAACAGCAGCAGCAGCAGCAGTCAGTCGTCGTCCTCCCCGGGCTCGGACTCGTACCCTGAGCAGCATCAGTACCCCCAACATCCGTCCCACCTTCCGCTGGGCTCTGACCACAACAGTGTGCTGGCACATGGGCCTGCTGAAGGCCAGATCCTGGAGGAACAGATGCAGAGTATGCCCCTCCAATCACCTCCTTCGTTTCAGGATCAGATGGTGACCCACATGGACAGAGATGAGTAAGTAACAGATCTGGAGAAAACACTCGAACATCATGTTGAAACTGTAACTGGACTCTTCCACTACAGAGCCATGAATTTAAACAAGACGCTCACATTTTGAAAATCTTTTGACTTCATATCCTGAGTTCACGAAAAATGGTTTTTTAGAAGTGATTCTGAGCGATCGGCGACTTCTACTACGGAGTCATGTCTGTTTCTGATAAAGTGCTGCCAGAGGAGGTGAAGATCACGGCCAGTCAGGGTTGGTTTTGAGCCTTATTGTACAGAAATACCTCTTTAAATTCTTTATTCAGGAAGATTATTTTGAAACTTCATGATCTTGTAGTCTCTCACAAAGTGGTGAATCTGCTTTCTCCTCAGAGACTCAGTTATGTCACTCCGTACGTTTACATGCACAGTTTAATCGGACTAAGCTCATATTTCTTTTTTTTTTTTTTGCCGAGTAGGACTTCTCTGCTTGTCCGCGTATACATGCAGCTGAGAAAATCAAATTATTATTGTGAACGTGTCCTCCTCCCCAAAACTAGGGGGCGATATAGGTCTTTTCAGTGGCGCTGTTTCTGGACCTTTTTTAAAGATGTCTCCGTTCCTCGTTTTGTGACCGTCCAAATACTTTAAAATGTCCATTTCTGTCAGCAGGACGGAAAGCATAACAGTGCTCTCTTCGTTGTTCCAAAGGTTGACATTATTTCGTGCTTCAGCCTTGTTGCAGTTTCTTCTGAGTGGAAAATTTTTTAAATGATAGCGCCGCTTCTTCTCTGTTGTTTTTGTTCAGGGGTTATGGAGGCGTGGCGCACGGGCACATGCTGGTTACACAGTAGAGAAAATCAAATTCCAATCGTATTATCTGGGTGTCTTAATCTGAGTTCTCAAATTCCAGTTATATTATAAGGTGTTTACATGCACTTCAGTAGTTGGGTCTTTATCGGAGTAAAGCAATAATTCGGTGTTCTTGAGTGTCATGTAAACGTACTGACGGACATGGTGCAGATGAACCCTGTTAGTTGGAAGATGCACCTTGTGGTCTTTTTTTGTAACTTCAAAAACTTTTTCTCGACTTATTCAAAAGTTGTTGCTGCCATCAGATTGAAGATAAGTAAACACTAACAAACCATCAAAACCTGTTTTTGTTGACATTTTATAGAGAATCCCAACTTGTTTTGAAAAAGAAGGTAGAAAAGATCTTTAATGTACTTCTCTTTGTTTCCTGTCCTCGCAGTTACATCCACCCACAGCACTGGTCCATGGATACAGAAGATGCAGGTCCATCAGTGGAGCCGACACGTTACATCGTCCCCGATCGGGGCGTCATGGACTCTGCTCTGGAAGTGAGCGGAGGACTGTAAAGAAAAACTAAAAACTGAACCTTGATGGTTTCGTTCCTCCTCCCCCAAAGATCGAGAACATGAAACGTTTAAAAAAAGAAAAAAAATTAAAAAAGGATGTAGAAGAAAACAAAAGTGCCGTTGTGAGGTAACGTTTTCTCTCTCTGGTCGAGATGTTTTTAGTCTTTAAAAAAAAAAAAACAGTTTGGATTGAATGTATATTTTTGCGTGTTGATATTTCTTGTGAATGTGCACTACAGTCGGTGTTCACGAGGACATCGCTGAACCTCTGCCGTCAGTCCGAGCTCTCTCTTTTTGATAAATGGTATTTGTATCTTTATTTTCTCCACCTCGGTGTGACTCTCAGAACAAGCCATCTGCAGCGATTTACTGAAAGGTGCATGTTGGTTGACACCGTGAACATTCCCACACAGAGGTTAAAAAAAAAGGGCGGTGTTTCCTGTCATACTGTGGTGTGTAGTTCCCCCCCCTTCACTTCGACTCTGTGCTTCGGTGTTTTCTCGGTGCCTGTTCACTTTTTGGAGGATTTTTCTACTTCTGTGTCAGTGGAACAAAAAAAAGCAGCAGTTTGTGGCCTTTTAACAAAATGACTGTTAATAAAAAAAAGGCTTTTTTTCTGTTCGTCTGGTTCTCTAAAGCTGGATTTACACAGAGAAGTTGTTTCTTAGTTTACTCTTTCTACAGAGTGAATAAACTGATTACGGATTAGCGACAAAAATATGTTTAAATAAAACATATACAACAATGTTTTTTTACAACCTGACTTCAGCTACGTTTACACTGCAGGTTATGATGCACAATTCCGTTTTTTTTGTTAAATCTGATCTTTTTTTGCGGTCGTTCACATTACAACAACGAATGCGGCATCTTAATGTCCTTTCACACTGGGACCATTTTTTTCGTGCGATTATTTCGGACGTCAATATATTTTTTTTTAACCCTGTATCCTGTCAATACAGGCGTTCACATCAGCGACGTTTTCCTGTCCTGCGATATTGCGGCATTTATTTTTTCGGATCATGGTCAATTTTTCTATACTGTGTGTCCACTTCTGACCAATCGGATTGTTGCGATTTGATTCACTGGTATATCCAACATGGCTTTGTGTGCTTTAACAGTTTGCTAAACATCTTTGTTTTAACTTTCATCTATGCTAACGTATGCTAACGGTTATTACCATAGTTTCATGTGCTTATCTTATCGCCTCTGATTGGCTATGAGTGCTGACCGTTTGGCTTAAGCATGTGATGATGTTTCCAGCTTTCCTAGCCAATCAGAGGCGAAGGAGGCGGGACTTTCCCCGGGAAAAGTCATCCCCAGGATGCGTCTTTTCTTCCCCGGAAAGTCGCAAAATTGCATCGGGCTTGAGGTGTATAGTCAGGCCCGTCAAAATTCACCTCCGAACATTTCGTAATTTCGCATTCTATATTGGCTACGTTCACACTGCAGGTTATGACGCACAATTCCGATTTTTTTGTTAAATCCGATCTTTTTGTGCAGTCGTTCACATTACGACAACGAATGCGGCATCTAATGTGAACAGAATGCGTCCGTGAAGTGACCCGCAGGCGCATAAAGCACAAATTGCTTTCCACGCCTGTTTGTTTTGTAGAACAATGGAGACGTTTGTCGCATATTGATGACGTATAGATCGGATGAACACGACATATCGGATTTATATCCACATACAAAAGAGGCCTGGGTCGGATTAGAAAAAATCAGAGTTGCACTGTTCACACTTACATGAAAAAATCAAATATGTGTCACATATGGTTAAAAAAATCAGAATTGACCTGCAGTGTGAACGTAGCCTTAGATGATGATTATTGGTGCTGTGATTCCTGCACTCTTAATAATGACTCATAAAGAAAACTCTCGATATGAGCAGCTTTGTTGACCTTGGCCTCACAGTCTGGTGTTTAAACCGTCGGCTCTCAGTCTTTTGACAATTTATCTCCTTACATATTTCCTAATCTTCCTGCTTGGGTTTTTAAATTCAGAGCTGAGTCAGAGGAACTTTTCCGACTGTAAATCCAGCTTTAGCGCCGTCTGCTAACAGACACACGTTCCCTGTTCTGTCTTGATATCTGTGGCTTGTATCTGCATGCAAACACACACACACACACACAAACACACACACACCCTGATCTGATCCTGAAAACATTTCTCTTGGCTGTTTGTACAAAAAACACACATTTTGCTCTGTCTGCTCTCATCGTAGTTTTTTGCCGGTCAAACTTGTCGTCCTCTTTCTAAAGTGAACAGTCGGTCGCAGATCATGGCAAACACGTTTTTATTGTCGATCAAAAATGACAATCTATACATCCCATAAATAAGAGTTCACAAAATAAATCAAACTTTACACACTTTTCTCTTTTTGTTTCTGTTCTTGAGTGCGAGGCTGAGATTATGTACAAACATTTCTGACAGTGTAAATGACGAACGATGAATGATCTTTGATTGTGCATGTACACAGCTACATTCAGAGCCCCAAAGATCGCCTACATTCATGATCTACTCCCAAGTCTGGCCTCGTCAGATTCAGAAACTGTGTGACTGAAGAGTTTTAAAGCAGCGTTTGGGTGAAGGTACAAAATAGCAAAAAAACGACAAACTTTGTGGGATAACCTGGACTTCATCAGGTAAGTCAAACACCAACTTTTCATTCTTTAAGGGGATAGTTCTATAAATAATGTAGCTTAAACGCTGTGTAGTGTTGAATCTCTTACACTCTTCGTATTGCTGCATTGAACAAAATAAGCAGTAATTTTCTTTTAATACACTGAATTAAATCAAATGTACAGCTGGTTGAACCAAACACACTGATAAATAACCTTTTAAACAAGCCCTGTGATTGGTCCGCCGCGAAGCATTGTATTTGCTACATTTACATTCCCAGCGTCCGCTATCTGCAGTGATTCGGAGGTCGTAACTTCCTCTCATAACAAATGCCGTCTCATGTTTGTCAGGCATACAGACTGATCACAGTCGTTTCTTTAGGAACACTGCTGCTGCGCATTTGTTAACAACCAAGATGGCTGCTCCCGCAAACAAACCACATGTAAGAGTATGTAGTGCTAACACGGGGTAGCTAGGGTGTAATCACAGAGGTATTTACTCAGGAGCTTCGCAGAATCTTTAAGGACAGTTTTCATAGGGTGACCATATTCTGACTTCCCAAAAAGAGGACACAACTATGTGGGGGCGGAGTCACGGAGTTGCATGAAGTTAATTTTGAGAGTTTTTCGGGTTTGATCGAGCGTCTTTTACCCGCTTCCAACTCGGTAAGTCCACGTGACACAAACTCAAGACTTCCGTACAAAATCGCGGACATTTGAAGGATTTTATGAACTTCCCCAGACAAAGCTGAACAAGCCCCTCAAAAAAGAGCACGTATGGTCACCCTAGTTTTCCCGTTTGTCCAGCGAGTAAATTGACAGCGAAGAAAAGAGTCGTAGGCTGTGTCCGAAATAAATCACTCAATCCCTAACCCCGTATGGGGTTTCATGATATAGTTGACTATGTAGTGAGCTCAATCACGGAGGTTTCGGACACTACATGGCGCACCGTTGTGACGCCATTGCTCAGACTGCTGTGTCTGTTGTTTTCACATCTCTTGAATTTTATGATGTTGTATAGATGTATTTGTTTTTCCAGGATGTTCGTTAAATAAAGATAAATAAATAAAAAAAACAATAAATAAATTATTTATTTAAAAGGTCTTATATTTTCGTGCCGAATTTTGTTTGCTGCATCATATTGTGCACTAGACTACATGACGCAGCAAAACAATTGTTTTTTTAGAGCTCGGGTTCTGTCTCTATTTGCTCTCTTTGAGTTGCCGCTGGAGACACAATGCATGACAGGATGCCCACCACCGGTGAGTGACCATCAGTTGATCGAATCCGGACGATCGAATGATCACTACATTTTGCAATTCTCTACGGGAAATTTTGAGTCGCCTATATGGGCCATTAGAATTGATCACTCAGATTTCGGACACCCCTCAAAATGGCGCTAACCCCCATATAGTCGCCTATATCGGGGTTAGGGATCGATTTCGGACACAGTCGTTGCTGCAAACCCAGAGGTGGACAACATGAGAATATAGCTAACTATTTTTTTACACCAATGTGCGGTCTGCTCTTCAGTAAATACATGTTTAAAACATGGGATTACATGTTGGCGCTCAAAAGTTTTGTTTCTCAGTGTGTTTGGACTCTTTTCGCCACCTAGTGGTCAGAAAATCACCTAATGCAGCTTCATAATCAGGACCTCTAAAACTTTTTCAAAGACTGGCCATAAAGTTTACATTCTCGTAGGAAAATATCAGATTTTTTTATTTCATACTGGCTCTGAAAAAACGGGGAGTGTCAAAACTCACTGCAGCTCGCCAGCATGAACACACGATATAAAAGCGGTACAAACTATTGCCTCTGTCGTCTTGAAAGGTCTCAGTGCCACGCTCAAAATCGTAATAATTTAACATCTTTTTCTTTGAGGTTTGCCCTTATATACAAAAATCCTTCAAACATTAAAAGTACATAATCTGGTTAAAGTTACAGCAGATCTATCGGCTACAGAAAGGCAAGTCTTCGGATGAGTCACTGCCGTCTTTTAAAAAAAAAAAAGTCTTTAAATTTTAAATATTTCTAAATCAAACAACAAACATCTCTGTACAAAATGTGCTCTCAACACGTGGCTGCCTTTGTGAAAAATTGCTGCATTGGTAGAAAATGGCGAGTGTCGTCCTGACTACTGGATGCTTTGGTAAAATCTGTCCTCTGTTGTCCTCTTGCAGACTAAAGCGAAGGTTTTCTCATTATTAAAAGTGAACTTTCTGACGTTAGATGGCAAATCTGCACACAGAAACGACAAACTGGTGATATGGCTTCTTAATTTAGACATTTGGAATTCCTCAAATAATAAATACACTAAATACGTCAAAAACAGGAGAGCTGAGGGCCTCCAGTTCTTCTTTTCTTCTGCAGAGAGGAGGACAGGTCCTCAAATGTGTCGCTGAGGTGTTCAGTCCCCGAAACAAAGACACCGAGCTCTCCGCCGCGGCAGTTTTCATGTGGGTGGAGGGCCGTTGGTGTACCGCAGCATAGGGTAGAAGGAGCGGGCGAAGTTGTTGGACAGCGTACAGCTGTAGTCCTCCTCAGACAGAGGCACCAGGCAGGCCAGAACCAGCAGCACGAAGAAGAGGAGGTGCAGAGGGAAGGCAGCTCGGAGAACCCGGTAGAAGAGAGGCCGGTGTGGGGGTGAATCCCTCCTCTCCTCCCTGGATGGAGACGGATTTAACAAAGGGTTAGAAAAAGGGACAGCGCACAAAATCCCAAACATGCAAAGGTACTGAATGTCTTTAATCCTCATTTTTATGTAATTATAAAACAGAACTGGAAGATAAAACTACATCAGTGACAGATTACCTTTTAGATGTTGTTTGTCCAGCTGTAGCAGCCTCCTGCAGTAACGAAAACAAGACAGTGATGTTTTTATTTTGTTTCACGAGTGTCAGAAATCTTCCTGCACTTTTGTCAATTTAAATAATCAAAACTTTGCATTTCTTTTATTTTCAAACCATTAACCTCACTCTAACTAAATCTAATGACTCTCCTCTTGTTGGGAGATGTACCTTTCTCAGCAGCAGAGGAGAGCTGAGAGTTCCCAGACCGATGCTGTCCATCTCTGAGCTGGTCGAACCGGTTTCCTGAGACAGAAAACAGATAAAACTGATCAAACTGGTTCAAAGTCAACAGGCTGAGGAGACGTACAGGTGGATACTTTTATAAAACTCTTATAAAACTTCTTTTTTTTGACTAACATCATCTTATTAGTCGACTCTAGAAACAGTTAAAAAGCTGTAACACGTCTCTTTTTTATAATTTCAGCATATTGAGGTAGAATAAAAGCAGCCAGATAATGCAGACAGAGCCCTCATGCTGCCCTCATGGAGACAAACTGAACCTACCAGTCTGCCCTGCAGCGTGCGCAGGTCTGCAGACACCTGTCGCAGCAGGAGACACAGCTTGTTGCAGATGACGTGGACCTTCTCTTTGGCCTCGATGCTGTCCTCCTCGGTGGCCTCCAGGAGGAGCTGGGAGGAGATCTCCTGCAGCGAGGAGACCTGCCGCTGCTGGCCACGAAGCTCCTCCTGCAGCGCCTGGCAGCAGGGGGCGACAGAGAGCAGGGGAGTCAGTAAACAGCAGAGAGAGATTAGAAGGAGAACCAGGAGAACCAAAGTTTATTTTCATAAGTCTATATAGAATATTATTAATTTTTCTTTCCAATATAATGCAACTAATGACTAGAACTGCATCTATATATCAAAATTTGTGTATAATTTGAGACCACTAATAATTTTATAGGTATTCATGATCAGCTTGTACTTGAATTGTTTTGATAGAAAGTTCTGGTTTCAGTCTGTATTAAATTTAGCATCATATAAAAGTATCAGATAAAACCAAAAGTTAGTATTAGCACTGAAGTATTAAACTCTGTGACCGATCAGCTCACCTTCAGGGATTTTTGGTGCACCAGGAGAACGAGGTGTGACATGGACGGGTCGTTCACGTTCACAGCACTTAGTTTGTTTTCAGCCTGAGCGAGCCACAAGAGGAGGGAGTGCAGCGTCTCGTGGAACTCCTGAGGTAGAAGGAAAAATAAGAGGTCAGAGGTTGCAGGAGCTGCTTGTCCTTTTTGGGCCCAATGCCAATGTCTTACCTAAAGCTTAAACTCTGAACTCTCAGGGACTCTAAGAACATTATAGGTGCAGCGTATGAGCGTGTAAGGACTTAAAACGGTGTAGAAATGAGGATCGAGACAGCCTGATATGACACTGGACTTTCTGAACTTTCTAAACCAAAGCTACTCTCGATTCTGACTTGTCTATATTAAGTCAAGGGCGGTTAAACTTGTGCTTGTGTCTCCATGTCTCACCTGACACTGCATTAGCGCAGAGTGCAGCCTCCTCTCCCAGCTCTCCAGCCCCCCACAGGCCTGCGTCCAGCTGTGATTGGCCGAGCTGAGAGCGTCCTGAAGCTCCCGCAACTCGGCGCTGTCACCTCGCAGGAAATGTCGACTGCTGAGGTTGACCGAAATCATCAGACACTTGTAGCTGTTGAAGGTCTTCTGCATCTCCTAGAAAAGAAAGAGAGGACAGATTAATGCTTCTACAGTCTTAAAACAAATCTAAAACTCTTTCTGTGACTCTGTCTGCAGGAGTTTTACCTTCAGTTTCCTGATGTTCACTTCGATGTCTCGTATACTTGTGGAAGGTGCAATTCGTTGTAGCCTCTCCAGTTCTGGCAGCACCCTGCCCAGCCAGGAGGTCACTTCAGAGAGGTCAGAGTTCAGCTTCTGCCACTGCTCTAGGTCCTGCTTGATGTCCGTCTCCTTGCTGAACTTCTGTGCTTGGAGCAGCTCCCAGCGCTGGATCACACCTACAGAGAACCAACAATCAGCATTATTGAACCTCCGATTTCATAGTATATTATTATAAAAATAAAGTATGATTAAAATGTCATAGTATAGTTTGATATAAATGTCATAGTATAGTATAAAAAATTTGTCAAAGAATAGTATGAAAATCAGTGACGTATGATTAAAAAGGTCATAGTATAGTATGTTGAAATAAAGAATGATAAACAAAATGTGATAGTATAGAATGATAAAAAATGTCATACTTTTGTATGTAAAAACGTTATAGTATAGTATGTTAAAAAAAAATTCATAGTTTGGTGTGTAAAGAAATGTCATAGTACAGTATGTCAAAAAAATGTCATAAAATAGTATGATAAAAAAGTCATAGTATAGTATGTCAAAAAAATGTCATAGTATATTATGTTAAAACATTTTATAGTTTGGTATGCAAAAAAATGTCATACTTTAGTATGTCAAAAAATGTCATAGTATAGTATGATAAAAAATGTCATAGTTAAGTATGTTAAAAAATATCATAGTTTAGTATGAAAAAAATGTCATAGTATAGTATGTAAAAAAAAACTCACACCCTAGAATGTTACAAAATGTCATAACATAGTATGTAAACAAATTTCATAGTTTGGTATGTAGATATTTTAATAGAATAGTATGTCAAAAAAAAATGTCAGTATCTTATGATGAAAAATGTCATAGTATAGAATAATAAAAAAGTCATAGTATAGTATGTGAAAAAATGTCATAGAGTATGATAAAAATATCATAGTATAGTATGATTAAAAATGTCATAGTATAGTATGACAAAAATGTCATAGTATAGAATGATAAAAAAAGTCATATTATAATATGTCAAATAATTGTCATAGCATAGTATGTTAAAAAAATGTCATACTTTAGTATATAAAAACTGTCATAGTTTGGTATGTTAAAAAAGTATAGTTTGGTATAAAAAATGTCATAGTATAGTATGTCACAGAAATGTCATATTATCGAATGTTAAAAAAAATGTTATGGTTTAGTATGTAAAAAATGTAATAGTATAGTATGTTAAAAAATGTCATAGTATAGTGTGATTAAAAAGGTCATAGTATTGTATGTTAAAATTTCCATAGTTTGGTTTGTAAAAAAGTGATAGTATAGTATGTTAAAAATTTCATAGTTTGGAATGTAAAACATTTCATAGTATTGTATGTTAAAAAATTCATAGTATAGTATGATTAATTATGTCATAGTATAGTATGTCGAAAAATGTCATAGTATAGTATGTTAAAAAATGTCATACTTTAGTATGTAAAGAAAATTTCATAGTATAGTATGTTAAAAAATTTCACAGTTTTGTATGTAAAAAAATATCATAGTATAGTATGATTAAAAAGTTCATAGCATTGTATGTTAAAAATTGTCAAAGTATAGTTTGTTAAAAAAATTCATAGTATAGTATGATTATTTATGTCATAGTATAGTATGTCAAAAAATGTCATAGTATAGTAGGTTAAAAATGTCATAGCACTGTATGTTAAAAATTCCATAGTTTGGTTTGTAAAAAAATGTCATAGTATAGTATGTTAAAAATGTCATAGTTTGGTATGTAAAAAATGTCATAGTATTGTATGTTAAAAAATTCATAGTATAGTATGATTAATTATGTCATAGTATAGTATGTCAAAAAATGTCATAGTATAGTATGTTAAAAAATGTCATACTTTAGTATGTAAAGAAAATTTCATAGTATAGTATGTTAAAAAATTTCACAGTTTTGTATGTAAAAAAATATCAAAGTATAGTATGATTAAAAAGGTCATAGCATTGTATGTTAAAAATTGTCAAAGTATAGTTTGTTAAAAAATTCATAGTATAGTATGATTATTTATGTCATAGTATAGTATGTCAAAAAATATCATAGTATAGTAGGTTAAAAATGTCATAGTATAGTATGTTAAAAATTCCATAGTTTGGTTTGTAAAAAAATGTCATAGCATAGTATGTTAAAAATGTCATGGTTTGGTATGTAAAAAATGTCATAGTATTGTATGTTAAAAAGTGTCATACTTTAGTATGTCATAAAATGTCATGGTATAGTATGTTAAAATTTCCATAGTTTGGTATGTAAAAAATGTCATAGTATAGTATGTTAAAAAATTCATAGTTTGGTATGTAAAGAAATGTCATGGAACAGTATGATAAAAAATGTCAGTATTGTAAAATAAAAAATGTCATAGTATAGTATCTTAAAAAATTGTATAGTTTGGTAGGTAAAAAAATGTCATGGTATAGTAGAATTAAAAAAGTTATAGTTCAGTATGTAAAGAATGTCATAGTATAGTATGTTAAAAAAATGTCAAAGAATATGATAAAATTGTCATAGTATATTATGTTAAAAATTTCCTACTTTAGTATGTAAAAAAATATCAAAGTATAGTATGATTAAAAAGGTCATAGTATTGTATGTTAAAAATTCCATAGTTTGGTTTGTAAAAAAATGTCATAGTATAGTATGTTAAAAATTTCAGTTTGGTATGTAAAAAATGTCATAGTATTGTATGTTAAAAAATTCATAGTATAGTATGATTAATTATGTCATAGTATAGTATGTCAAAAAATGTCATAGTATAGTATGTTAAAAAATGTTATACTTTAGTATGTAAAAAAATGTCATAGTATAGTATGTTAAAAATTCCATAGTTTGGTATGTAAAAAATGTCATAGTATAGTATGTTAAAAAATTCATAGTTTGGTATGTAAAAAAAAGTCATAGAAAAGTATGATAAAAATGTCAGTATTGTACGATAATAATGTCATAGTATAGTATGTTAAAAAAATTTATAGTTTGGTAGGTAAAAAAATGTCATGGTATAGTATGATTAAAAAAGTTATAGTTCAGTATGTAAAGAATGTCATAGTATAGTATGTTAAAAAATGTCATAGAATATGATAAAAATGTCATAGTATATTATGTTAAAAATATCCTACTTTAGTATGTTAAAATATCATAGTATAGTATGATTAAAAAGGTCATAGTATTGTATGTTAAAAATTCCATAGTTTGGTTTGTAAAAAAATGTCATAGTATAGTATGTTAAAAATTTCAGTTTGGTATGTAAAAAATGTCATAGTATTGTATGTTAAAAAATTCATAGTATAGTATGATTAATTATGTCATAGTATAGTATGTCAAAAAATGTCATAGTATAGTATGTTAAAAAATGTTATACTTTAGTATGTAAAAAAATGTCATAGTATAGTATGTTAAAAATTCCATAGTTTGGTATGTAAAAAATGTCATAGTATAGTATGTTAAAAATTCCATAGTTTGGTTTGTAAAAAAATGTCATAGTATTGTATGTTAAAAAATTCATAGTATAGTATGATTAATTATGTCATAGTATAGTATGTCAAAAAATGTCATAGTATAGTATGTTAAAAATGTCATACTTTAGTATGTCAAAAAATGTCATAGTATAGTATGTTAAAAATGTCATACTATAGTATGTCAAAAAATGTCATAGTATAGTATGTTAAAAATGTCATACTTTAGAATGTAAAAAAATGTCATAGTATAGTATGTTAAAAAATGTCATAGTTTTGTATGTGAAAAAATATCATAGTATAGTATGATTAAAAAGCTCATAGTATAGTATGTTAAAAATTTCATAGTTTGGTATGTAAAAAATGTTGTAGTATTGTATGTTAAAAAATTCATAGTATAGTATGATTAATTATGTCATAGTATAGTATGTCAAAAATTGTCATAGTATGATAAAAAAATGTCATACTATAGTATGTTAAAAAATTTCATAGTTTTGTATGTTAAAAAATATCATAGTATAGTATGATTAAAAAGGTCATAGTATTGTATGTTAAAAATTCCATAGTTTGGTTTGTAAAAAAATGTCGTAGTATTGTATGTTAAAAAATTCATAGTATAGTATGATTAATTATGTCATAGTATAGTATGTCAAAAAATGTCATAGTATAGTATGTTAAAAATGTCATACTATAGTATGTCAAAAAATGTCATAGTATAGTATGTTAAAAATGTCATACTTTAGAATGTAAAAAAATGTCATAGTATAGTATGTTAAAAAATGTCATAGTTTTGTATGTGAAAAAATATCATAGTATAGTATGATTAAAAAGCTCATAGTATAGTATGTAAAAAATTTCATAGTTTGGTATGTAAAAAATGTCGTAGTATTGTATGTTAAAAAATTCATAGTATAGTATGATTAATTATGTCATAGTATAGTATGTCAAAAATTGTCATAGTATGATAAAAA